CCCCCCCCCCCGGTCGCTATGGTGACGCCGCGGCCTACTTCTCCCCCTCAGGCCACTTTCCACTACCGGACGCTGCGGTGCGGGGATGAGGAGACGCCGCTGGATGACAGCCGGGCGCGGGGGAAGCCCATGGAGCTGATCGCCGGCAAGAAGTTCAAGTTGCCGGTGTGGGAAGCGGCGCTGCGGACCATGAGGCCGGGGGAGCGCGCCCGCTTCCGCTGCGACGCCAAGGTGGGGCGGGGTTTTGCTACCCCGGGGGGCGTGGTGTACGTGCTCTGGAGGCGGGGTTTGCGCCCGGGGGTGTGGTCTGCGCCCCGGGGGGCGTGGTGTGGGTTACAGGGGCGGGGTCTGCGCGCAGGGGGCGTGGCGTGCTGGTTCAGGGGGCGGGGCCTGCGCCGTGCCCACACGTGGCGCAGCTCCTCACCGGGGTGCGAGGCCGGCAGCGTCCCGGTCCCACCGGTGCGGTCCCGGCCCATCACCGCCACCTCCACCCCACAGCATGTGGTGCTCTACCCACTGGTGTCCAAGAGCCTGCGCAACATCGCGGCGGGGAAGGATCCGCTGGAGGGGCAGCGGCACTGCTGCAGCATCGCCCAGCTGCACGAGCACTACTCCCTGGGCTATCCCGACCTCGACGAGCTCCAGAAGAACCCCCAGCCCCTCATCTTCGACATCGAGGTGCTCAAGGTGAGGCACCCGCTCGTGCCGGCGCGGGGAGAGGCGGCTGGGGGCCGCAAGCACCCACCCTGGGTGGAGGCTGCGGGCAGGAGGGGGCTGGGGCTCTGCCCCCGCCTGGAGGAAGGCTCTGCTCTCACGACGGGGTGCCGGCAGGTGGAGGCACCCGGCTCCTACCAGCAGGACCCGTGGGCCATGACGGATGAGGAGAAGCTGCAGGCCGTACCCATGATTCACAAGGAGGGCAACGAGCTGTACCGGCAGGGCAAGGTGCAGGAGGCAGCTGCCAAATACTACGATGCCATCGCCTGTCTCAAGAACCTCCAGATGAAGGTGGGGCTCCCTGGCGCCTCTCTGGGGTGCACGTAGGTCTCCCCACATCCCTCCTGGAGTGCAGGGCTTGGGAGCTTCCCCTCACGTTCTTCCCTCCATCTCATCCTGCAGGAGCAGCCCGGCTCTCCGGACTGGATCGAGCTCGACCAGAAGATCACACCCTTGCTGTTAAATTACTGCCAATGCAAGCTGCAGTGCGAGGAATACTACGAGGTGCTGGATCACTGCTCCTCCATTCTCAACAAATATGAGGGTAAGGAGCCGCGGGCCGGCCCGGCCAGCCATGGTGGGTGCCGGTGGGGCGAGCGGCTACCGGGGAGGCCCCCACCGTGCTCCCCCGGCCCACCGGCTCTCTCCCCGCAGACAACGTCAAGGCCTACTTCAAGCGGGGGAAGGCCCATGCAGCAGTGTGGAACGTGGCAGAGGCGCAGGCTGACTTTGCCAAAGTGCTGGCCCTCGACCCCTCGCTGCGCCCCGTCGTCTCCAAGGAGCTGCGGAGCCTGGAAGCCCGCCTGCGCGAGAAGGACGCCGAGGACAAGATTCGCTTCAAGGGCATCTTCTCGCAGTAGAGTCCACGGCCGCAGCGGAGAGCCCAACGCTCTCTGAACAGGTTCTTTTAGATATTCCACATGTGGAATGTTCATTGATGTTTATTAATGTTTAATACAAATTTTACTTATTTGAAGTCATTTGAAGTGGCCCGGGAGCTCGCCACGGCCCGGTGACACAGCAGTGCACTGAAGTCGCAGTATTAAGCAGCGTATAGCAATCACAGCGCACGGTTGAAGCGCAATCTAAAGGCAAAGCTCCTTGCTGGGCTTTAGACTATGCTCATCGTCACGCCAGGAAGGGACGTGTGAGGTGACACAAGCTCAAGCCTGCTGCTCTCTGCCGAGTTCTTTTATTCGTTGTTTGATGTTTTTATACTTTATGTTGGGCTGAGCCCCTGGGCCTGGCCAAGCTGTTTACAGCCACAGGGGCTCCGGTGCCAAGCCTCAGCCCCAGCTCTTACCCCTGTATGCCACGCCACGTCCTGCATCGTCACGTCTCAAGGCTGCTGCTATCATCCCAAGCCGGTGTTTCCTCTATACTACATCGTCGTAAATATTTTATATAGAATAACTGCTTGTTACTACTATCTATATAAAACTCTGGTCGTGCTATGCCAAGATAAACAAAAGTAAAAATAGTCACAGGCACTTGGTGACTTAGAAAAACTGCTGTTACAGATATATGAGGTAAAGCAAAGTTGTAGGGAGGCCAGGAACAGGTCGGGGGGAGGGAGCATGGCAAGCCCTGGCCCTGAGGCCTTGCAAACTCACTGCAAAACTGAGCCCCTGCTTGCTGTGGTAAGCGCTCCCCCCATCATGGATGTGTTAATAGCTGCTAAATGACTGTTCTAAGGTGCAGACCCAAGAAAACTCTCCATCAGGCTCCGTCCTGGGCTCAGTGTGTGAAAGCAGCTCTAATGCACACACAGGGTGTGTCAGTGCATGCCCCTCATGGCCCTGTGCTGCAGGAGCTCAAAGCTGAGTCCACGCCACTGCGGCCCCCCAAAATCCACGGCCCTCGCCCCATGCCCAGCCCGGAGGTGACAGCAGCGTGGCTGAGCTGCCCCGGCCCTGCTCTGCTCACTGAAGCCAGCAGCTTTCCTCCTCCAGCCTCCGTGGTCCCTCCATCCCTGCCCTACCACCATGGCTGTTCCCTTGTGGAAAAGGTTTAGCCGCTCACACCAACGTACAGCTTGATGTCAGCATCAACGCATACTTGAGAGCAGCGGTGCAGAGCTGCCCAGAGCCACCCCAGGCTGTATTTCTTAGCAGCTTTACCCGCCCCACAATGTGTCCTAAATTGCTCGTGACCCAACTACTGTCCCCCAAGGCCACCTCCCTGCATGACACTGTGGCCCTGGGTCCGAGGCTCGCCAGGGCTTTGCTGGCAGGGGAAGCCGCTGGCATCCGTGGCTGAGTGTGTATAGAGCAGACACACGGGCCCCGGCACCTCATCTTTACATCGCTTTATTTCACACCGAAACGAAGAGAACAGAGGAACCGCTTTTGAATCCCAGCCCTTCCCCTGCCCCATGGCTGGCGACACTGAACGGAAATAAATAGGTGGGGAGCAGGGAGGTGCTGCTTGCCCTGGGGTGTAGCCCCCCCCAGCGCTGCCCAGGGACAGATGACCCCGGGCGGGGGGACACACACCAGTTCCCAGGGGACAAACCCCACCGGGCAGTGCCCAGCAGCAGCTCTGCAGCCCCAAAGGACCAGGGGGACGGGGCAGCAAGGGGGGGCATCGGGGGAACCTGGGGTGGCTCAGCCCTGAGGGGCTAGCTCTGGCCCTCGGGGGGGGTCTTGGAGTGCCATCTCCCAGGGCCCCTCAGTCTCAGAGGACCCAGCACCTCATCTCCTTCCTATCGGCTCGGGGTCCGTCGCAGGCTCTGGCCCCAGGCGCTCCTGGCTCAGAAACGAAGGCTGCAGCGGTGGGACGGTGACCGTGCCACCCTCACTCCTCACCCTCCAGCTTGAGGCTGACGCTGCGGGGTTTGGCCCGGGGCAGCCCTGGGGGTGCTGGTGGGGGTCCCCCATCCCGCTCTGCCTGGCTGGAGCCCCGAGACCGTAGGAGCTGGCTCTGCTTGCGTAGGAAGTCGACGGGTGCCGGGCAGCCGTAGGTGCCTTTGCCCAGCACGGGCCGCGGGGGTCCCTTGGGGGAGTGGGCCAGGGCCGCTGCCTCCAGCTGGGCCAGGTGGGCTACGTAGCCCTCGGACAGGAACTGTGGGGACGCACGGACAGCCTGAGCCAGCAGCCTCAGCCATCGCATGTTCCCTGTGCCCTGGTGGGGTCAGCAATTGTCCCCTGCAGCCCCAACGTGTCCCCAGCCCCGCCACCGTACCTGGCACTGGTTGTGGAACTTCTTGACGGCCCGGCCGACGATGTAGATGTGTGCTGGCGCGAGTCCCAGCGAGCTGTAGACGGAGACGTCCTTGGTGGAGCCATAGCCGGCGACGATGGTGATCTCCGCCTGCCCATAGACAGGAGTGTTAGGGCAGGGAATGACCCTTCCCGCAGGGACAGCCACCCCCAGGGGACACGGACACCCTCGTTTTACGAGGGATGGTTGCAATGCCACGGGCTGGGAGCTGCCCCTCTGTGCCCTGAACACAGTCGTGGGAGAGGGTGCCAGCTCCACCAGCACAGCGTGGTCCAGCTCCAAACATCTCCACACACAGCTCCCCTGACCCCCGGGATGGAGGGGGTCACAGCTCACGCTACCCCTCCACCACCATCAGCCCCGTGTCCCCACCTCTGTGCGCAGGCTCTGCAGGAAGGCAGCTTTCTGGCGCAGGGGGTCGTGGGTGAGCCCATCGCAGAAGGAGACAGCGCCATGGGGGAAGTTGTGCTGGGAAAGCCAGGCCACCACGCGATGCTTCTGCATGTCGGGGCGTCCCGTCACGTAGATGATCATGTAGCCCGAATCCTGCCAGTGCCTAGGAGGGGACACGGGTTGCTGCCAGGAGCCCGTGTGGGGACAGTCCTGCCAGCAGGAAGCCGCCAAGCATCTCCCAACACATCACGCATGGGTGCTGCCTCCAAAACCTTCCTCCTACCAGAGATTTTATCAAGGCTGAAGGCACAGCAGAACTATGGGGGTATCACAGCAGGCTTCAGGAGTAGAGTATTTCCCCCATGAGAAGGCACCAGCACAGAAATGCTGTGAAAACTCTCTGGGTGAGGGGGTGGCAGGAGATCCCCCAGCTCGTCCGTGGGAAGGCAGCCTGCTCCCATGACCCTGCTACCCCAGCTGGGTTGTGGCCACACTGTGAAAGGAGGAGGAGATTGTCCCCCTTACTTTAAGGGCACCTACCGTACGACGTCAACAGCCCCTGCCCGCACTTTGGGGTCGCTGCCCATGATGGATACGCTGGCAGTGAAGGAGCCGTCGATGCTGAACACGACTGACTCGGTGCCCCGGGCCACCACCGTCAGGTACGCCTCGGCATAGCTGTGGTCCCCCCTGGGGCGGGAGAGCGGGGAGGCTCAGGGGAGGCTCTGCCATGGAGCGGGCAGGTCTAGCTCTGCCGAAAGGGCTGGAGGAGGAACCGAGATGGCACCGCACCCCAGCATCTCACCTGACCACCATCCGCACGGGGTAGATGCCGATGGCCAGAGCCTTGTCTGGAGGGATGGTGAAGGTCAGGCGCCCGCTGCCGCTTGTCACCTCAGTGCCATAGTATAGCCACTTCCCCGAGAGCGGCTGTGTCATGATGTAGATGTCCACCTGGGAGAGGAAAAAGGGCTGAGCATGGACTGAATCTCCAGATCCTGCCACGTCCCCAACCTACAAGTCCTTAAGACCCTCTCCTACCATACCATGTAGGGTCCACATCCCTTCCCCTGCGGCTGGTGACACCAGCCCCGTGCCCCCTCCTGGACATCCCCACCCTGTTTGATGGGGTCCTGGCAGCACCCGTGATCCCAGCAGTACCTTCTCCCCGGTCAGTGTCACCACGTCCAGGGGTCCGTACATGAAGCGCCCGCTGAGGACCTGCGCTTTGCCCTCGCACACGATCACATCACTGGCCCGGTGGTTGGCCGTCACGTTCTGCAAGGACATCAGGGGTTCAGCAGCTCATGCCGGGGCCATGGGGGGGCACCCAAGGAAGCCCCTGCAGGGGCACACGGGCCCCACCATCCTGTGGGACCATCCCAGCATTCTTCTGTCAGATGGAAGCAAACCCTCCCAGCTGCATTGGCCCACAGCCAGGGTCTGCCCGGGCAACTGGGGATGGACGGAGCCCGGCACTGCCCCGGCAAAGGGTCAGGCTCCCGATGGCCACGGAGCACATACCCTGATTTTCACTTGGGTGCGCTTGCGCTGCCACTTCTCTCGGGGGATAGCGGGACTGTAGATAGAGCTCTCCTCGCTCTCTGCTGGCTGCGGCCCCTCCTTCTCCATCACCTGCCGGGTGACACAACCCCAGCTCAGCCTCCACCAGCCCCGGCGAGCCATGCCGCCCATCCCGCCATACCTGGCGCAGGATGAAGGCCACCACGTCGGAGGACTCCCAGTAGCTGGCGTGGAAGAGGTGAGGCAGGGTGATGGTGGGGAAGGCGGTCAGGGCATCGGGGCAGTACAATGAGTAGTCGATGCGCTTCGGGCCCCACCAGCGCTCCAGGACTGCAGGGAGAGCTGGAATTAATCCGTCCCCGGACCTTATTCTGCATCACGCATCCCGTGGTACTGACACGGGATGGGATGGGATGGGATAGGATGGGCAGGGACAGCACTTACTCTTGACGACTTCGCTGGTGCTGGCGGGAGTGGGGGGGTCTCCCGGCTCGCTACCCCTCCAGAAGCCCCCGAAACTGCCGGTGGGGGTAGGGGGGGCAGCCACATCCACCTCAGGCAGGAACAGGGCAGAGTGCATCTGCAAGGCCTCCGCTGTGGAGAGACACGAGTGAGGACACCCAGAGCCCCCTGGGGACACCAACCACCCTAGGATCCCCCCTCCAGCACAGCCCCAAAGGGGTGGACAGGGCTTGCACATCACCTTCCCCCCCAACCCAGCTGGGGTCCTGCAGCGCTGTGAGCGCTCTGGCTACCCTGGCACGACGCCGGAGCCCGCAACGTGCCCCAGGGTGCCCGGGACCAGCCCGGCACGGGGGCTGCTCACCCAGCAGGGAGGAGGTGCCGTCACCCAGGGGGTACTTCTGGTAGCGGGGCACGCTGAGCGGTGGGACGGCATGGAAGGCTTTGGCCAAGAGTGGCTCCAGGCGAGAAGCGCAGGGGTCGGCCGCGTGGAAGAGGTTGTAGATCTGCTCGCAAGCAGGACGCAGCTGGGCCACTGGGGCAGAGATGGGGGGGGGGGGGGTTTCAGGGCTGCCCAGCCTGCACGGCAAGGAGCCCGAGGGCTGGCGGGCACACGGCAGCGCAGCCGGGAGCTCAACACCCGGGGGGAGGAAGCAAGACCCAGTGAGAGGAAAGGTTGGGGGGGCAAACCCAGGGCACCAGGCACAGAGCGGGGAAGGGGATGCTCAGGCACACGCCAACACCGACACCCAGGCAGCCAGGGCTGGGTGTGCAAGGGGCTCAAACCCAAGCAGGGGTCTTTGGGGAGGTCCTGGGGGGGCTCAGGCTTGCAGGGGGCGGGGGGAGCACAACTCGGGGATGAGGGCTCGAGCCCTGCGGGGACGGTCGGGGGCTGGCACCACGGCTGGCGGGGGTCCTCACCATCCAGAGCGGGCATGACGGTCTTGCGCAGCGCGAGCACCAGCCCCAGCGGGGAGCCAAAGAGGAAGAAGCCGGATACCTTAAAGTCGAGGCGAGTGCCGGTGCCCTCCGTCCCGTCCAGCGCCGCGGTGCCGCTCCGCAGTGCCTCTGCCTCCAGCGGGGCCTCGCTGGCCTGCAGGCTGGGACAGTGGGGCTGGTGGGCATGGGGAGGGACAGTGCCATCCCACTCCCACCACCCCGGGGCAAAGCTGTGCCTGGCACAGCCCCGTTAGCCTGGAAGAGCTGCTGGAAGCAGGGGAGCTCCAGCAAGACACCCCCAGGGCAGGCTGCCCCCATGCAATGCTCCTTCCCAGGCTGGCGCAGGTGGGAAATTCACCCTTTCCATAAAGCACAAAATTAGTCGGCTGATCAGCAGAGCTCCCACGGGGACGGGCCACGGCACAGCCGACCATCCCCCTTGCTCTCACCTGCACGAGGAGCTGTGATGGTGGCTGTCCCCCTGCTCCCGGCAGGACGGCTGTGCCCCCAGTTCAGGACTGGCCTGGCCCGATCCTGTTGCTCCGTCCGCCCCATCAGCCAGCGGGTCCCTGCCGCCACACAGCTCAGGGGAGATGGGCTCTGTGCTCTGCGGGGGGAGAGGCAGTGAGTGCCCGGCTTAGCTGCCACTGGCACCCCTGCCAACCCTGCACCCCAGCTCCCAAGGGCACTAACCGCCTTCCCACCCTCCCCGATCCCGGCCGGCAGCAGGGTGCCGGCACTCACCAGGCTGCCACGGCGGCTGCTGCTGCGGCTGCCCCCTGATCCCATCCGGCTCTGGCAGAGCGCGTCGAAGCCCAGGATGCCGCCCACGCAGTCCCCCAGCAGCACCACCTGTGGACGGCACGCACCCGTGCCAAGGGCAACGAAGGACAGAGTCCCCAAGCCCTACCACACAGGGGCAAAGCGGTTCCCAGCGGAGGTGAGCCTCAGCTGGAACCCAGAGCAAAGCTTGCCCCGAATCCCCCAAATTCCCCTCTCACCTGGCCACAGAAGCCGGCCCCCTCCCCGGAGTGCAGGAAGGTGCTGTACGCCTGGTTGGCGCGGGCGATGACGGCACCCACGGCGTGCTGGTAGCTCCCCGAGGAGGTGGCCAGCAGTGGGAGGGCTGCCAGCGGGATGTGGTCCTGGCTGCTGGACAGGCTGTCCCTGTCATGGCTGTAGGGGCTGAGCCTGAGATGGAAAAAGGGGAGAGGATGAAGAGGGCTGCCCCAATATCCCCATCCCACCGCACGACACTTGCCCCGGGATGCTGCACCGGGAGTTATCCCCATCCCATCGCTTGTCCTGGATACCACACCGAGAGAAGGAAAGTCCCATCTCTAAGGCCACCACACCCCCAGTCCCCTCCTACAGCTCTAGGGTGGTTTTCCAGGAGAACAGCCCCCCATCCTCGCCCCGCAGCACAGTACACGGCCCCGGCATATGGCGCTGCCATCCATACTTGGAGACGAGGGCGTAGGCAGCGGCGCAGATGGGCGGACAGGGCACCAGGCGCAGCGCCACGTGCCCCAGCGCCTCGGGGAAGTGGACACGGGTGACGGCGTCGAAGGTGGCTGCCAGCGTCTGCACGTCCGCCTGCTTGGAGCCCGGCTCGCCTGCTCCCTGGTCCAGGATGTTACCGCTGTGGAGGATGAGGAAGAGGGCGTGGATCCGGCACGCTTGCCCCGCGCTCTCCGCTGAGCCCCCCTGTGGGAAGGAGAGCGCTGCCGTCGGCACCCGTGCCGGGGTGGGGGGCACGGACCGAGGGAAAGGACGAGGCAGGGCACGCACCTCGGGGAAGCCGGATGCCCCCAATCCTTCGCCATCAGCCTTGGCGGCGCCGGCTCCGTCCCCTGCGAGCGCATGGCCCCGGTGAGCCCGGCTGGGGTGTCCAGGTGGAGACTGACCCCCTTCCAGGACACCCGTGCTGGGGTTTGGGGCCAGGGCCCCCCCCACCACTCACCCAGCGCCTCGTCCAGCTCCGCTGGCCGCTCCAGCGTGTCCAAGAAGTCGTTGGAGCTCCATTTTGTCATCTCCTTCGCAAAGACCTCATCACTGTCGGACAGGTCCTCTGCGGCGGCAGGGAGGGGGCCGTGGGTGAGGAGCCCCCTGCCAGGTGCATCCAGACATCCCGAAGCTGGTGCCTGGTCCCTGCCACTGAAATGCTGTGCCGTGGCCGCGGGGCTGCCCCTACATACCGTGAGCATCGAAAAACTCCTCTTCGGAGCTGTTTTCGGAGTCACGGGCAATGTTCTGCATCCGCCACTCGGACAGGCTCTGAGGAGACACCCCCCCTGCCACG